TTCTGATATTACCAGTATGAGGTAATGAAAGCCTTGCTAATTCAACGTGTGGATAGACTTGAAAATTTAAGGCAACAGTTAGCTAAATGTAATAACTCTGCACAAAAACGTGAGGAGCTAGAGAAAAAGGTTAGTTTGTCATTTCTTTTACCATGTTTTGTACCATTTATTCCACTAACAATTAACTTTTAATTCAATTTTAAACTATCCAAATAAAAAAATATGCTAACAGTCTAGTTTTGATTCTTCTTTATTTTTTATTTTTTTTTTGTGGTGGAAAATTGTATTCCATCTTTAAAAAAAAAAAGAAATGCGAACAAACATATAAAACAAGAGTTAACCTTTTCAAATTGTGTTTGATTTTTTTTTTCTCATTGGTTAGGATGATATGTATAAATAATTGATTAATTTATGATCATTCCCTTTTAGATACAAATTTAAATCAAAACTTAAAAGATCATTTGGTTTGAACCGCATTTAATTAACCTTAAAAACATTCCATCAAAGATAATTTGAGTCTTACTAATGAAGCAAAGAAAAAATTAAGAAAATCTGATGCTCATCTAACAAAAAATATTCTAGAGAGAAAACTTTAGAGACTTATACACGTAGAAAAAGAAAGCGTACATAGAAATCTGAAAATAAAGACTTTGGATTTAAAAACTTAATCAAAACTTGACTGAGTAAAAAATTTAAACAATTTAGCTATAGACGTAATCATCTTCTTTTTTGAAGTAACGTCTGTATTTTATAAGACGATGAGGACCTATTTAAATGTAAACCGCATCCTAAAATATAACTCAGAATGACAATGAAGCTATTATACATTAATACTTAAGTGCACCAGGATGATCAGCACTCAAGACAAGGACAGCCTGCTAAGATGGATACTTTGGAAATGTAAAAGTATTAACAATTATAAGCCAAAAAAAGCATCTTGTCCAAATAGCATTCAAAATAGACTAATTATTCCTATCCCCAATATGTGCTCATAACTTATGGCAGCACAGAAACCTCCCATATACCAACTTTCCCTACTGGTCCACCAAGGAGATTGAACTATAGAGAGCACTTAACATGCAGTAAGCATATGTAAAAGCAATTTTTTAAAACAAATATTTGAATTACCTTTTTGAAGCCTTACTAAATTAGTTTATAGTACCAACATTCAGTTGATTTTTTTGAAAATGACAAATTTGAATTACGTACAAAGAATATAACAGATTATATTTTCTTTACTTTTACATGCTTTACTTTAAATTCATACAGTTTAAATGTCACTGTAACACTTAAGAAATCATTCATACAATGGCTGCCTGGACTGTTGTTTGGATTTATCGATGGTCCTGGGTTCAAACCCTGTCCACTCCCATCTTATATCGTCCTGCGGGAGGTTTGGACTAGGAAGTAAACTATCTTCAACTCTGAAGGAACATCTGAAACATGTTAAACATTTTACAAACGGATTTTTCTTTTATTTACAGCTTGTGCATTTAACAGCCTGTGTTGAAAATCTCCAACTTTTTATATTAGCTCAAGGTAATTTCTCATTAACCTTGTATATAAATTATTTGTTCTAGAAGTCTTTTTTTTTCCTCAACATTCTGCCAGCTGGTAAAAAATCTATTATTATTATTATGTGCAGATACATTGAGTTCTGCTGAGGACAAATCTGCTGGATTGTTTAGAAAGGTTGAATACATTAAGTCACATAATATTTGCAAGCCTGTCCAGTTAAAGAAAAATACAAACAATAGCATCAATATTTGCATGCAACCTTTTTTTTTTTTTTTTTTTTTTTTAAATCAGTGTCATTTTTAGCAACAGTTGGCCTCTGACACTGAATTAATCTAAAATTAAAACTTCTTAGTTACACTTAGCATTGACTTTTATTGAGTCAGTCATCTGCTGTGCTATACAAGTGGCTAGTTTGTTACAAAATGGAGCAGCAAAAAAAGTTTGGGGTAAGGAGTGGATCGAGGAGTAATGTAGCACAAAAATTTGAATTAAAAAAAGCTTTTGAAACTGGCTTCCTGGGTGTGGTGTATGTGCTCTGGACTATCATCGTAAAGGTCCCAGGTTCAAACCCTAACTGCTGTCATCCCTCCCTTCTGTCTTGTGGGAGGTTTGAGCTAGGTTGTAATAATTTTCAGTTCCGAAGGAACATCCAAAATGTAAAACAAACAAAAATGAAAACTCAAAGCAGATTAAGATTATAATCTTCTTATAAAAGTTTTTAAAACCTAAAAACAATTTTACTGCTTGGATGTAAACCAAAACCACATAAGCAATAATCTGTAGCTATTTGAATCACTAAACATAATTATAAGGCAATGTCTTTGGTTCTGAAGATTAAGAATAAGTATCACATGATAATGGAAACATAATATGTGACCAGCTTATTTTGCCACATCTAATGAAGGCAAAGTTGCTGTTAGCAGAGGTCTTACATAAGTTTTTTTTTCATCAACTGCACCTTTTTCTTTGGGTCTAAAATGTGTGTCTCTCGACTAATACTAAATACTGAAAAATATAAAATCACCTTTTATTTTTCCAGATAAACCAAGGGAAGATTTGTGCCTTCAAGACTTTGACAAATATTGGCCAAAATCTCCATCAATGTTTGACTTTTCCCAGCTGAACCTAGAGCACATCATACCTAGAAGTGAATAATCTCTGGACCAAAATGATCATTTTGGAAGACATATAACCTGAATTTCTATAAGTTGCACCTTATAAAAATGGTATTTGAAGCCATAAGAAAAAGTGTTTGCTTAATTCATTCTAATTCTTGAATTCAGTAATGAGATTAATGTTGAATGTATGGACTCAAGATTTTGCTCAGTTTTTAAGTTTTGAAATTCCAGTTTGTTACATTATTATTTCATTGCCAGTTACTCTATGATTAAGTACAGCACTTTAGTATAGAAAATACAATAATTATTTACATATCATATTAGTATAGAAAATACAAGAATTATTTATATATCCAGTATTATCATTATACTCTAAATATTAGCAAAATATCTTTGAAAAATTAAATACTGAAATTAATTTTTTTGTGTAATATTCATTAAGCATTTTTTGTATCATCATCATCCTCATCACTTAACCCAAAACTTACGTTAGCTAGTGTTATGTTTTCATGATGTGTTATGTCTTCAAGGGATGATATGTCCCAATGGGGTAATGTGTCCCCATGGGGTGATGTGTCTTATGGGGGGCTGGGATCATAAGCAGAGTCAAAACTTTCCACGATAGAGTATTCAGAAAATGGCCAGTCAATTGCTTCACATTTATCAATCATCTTCTTTCTGTTGTTTTTGTTTGTACTAAATTACAACTTCAATAGTACGTCTTTTCAATGCTACTTCTCGCTACATTTTTGCTGATGTGCTGTAATCTCTTTGTATTTTTGTTACATAATTTGTTTTGTAATTTTTATGTGATCAGAGATTCATTTTTTGTTAATACTTGTTCAATCATTTTTACTACTGGTATTTTTTGTTTGTTTGTTCGAAATTATAATGATGAATGTATAGAATTTTATTAGAAACATTTGGCATTATCCAAATGATTATTTTTGTGTGGTTTAAAAAAAATGAGAAAGGGGCAACAAGGGTGATAAACAATTGTTATCTCTGTTGCTTTCCCCTGCCTCTGCTTTCATCACTACCATGCTTCCATGTTAATGTTACATAACTCTCTTCCATTTCTTGGAAATAACGTAAAAAGTTATTTAACCCTAAAAGTGCTGAGCAGTTTTACAATTAGTGCATACAAAATGGAATTACAATTATGATGTATAGAGGCTAAACTACCACACACATTTTAAGGGTTAACTTTCAATTTTTTGTCTCATAAGCATATTTAATCCTATTGGATTTTATCGCCATAGTTCATAGATCTGAATAGCTGTCTCATCTACCATTTAATTTAGGTGTTTTCCTAAGACAAGTATAAATTGTATTTTAAATTATTTTCTACCTGAAAACAAGACCTCTTTTCTATTTCTTTAATTTTATTTAAGTTTGTAGATTGTTATTTAAAACCTAATTTCTAGATAATCTTGTTTTTAAAAAAACCCATGTTCTGTTGATAATCATTTATTCAAATGATTGGTTAATAAGCCATGTTCTGTTGAAATATTCAAATGATCCTTAAATACAACAGCGCTTTCGTATACATCTTTTTGCATTGATGATATAGTACCAAATTTGTGCTATTATTTAAATCCTCTTTTAAAGAAGATGATGTTGATTGTAAATTATCTTTTTAAATTGTTATAATTGGAATTTTTCTATAAAAATACATTATGTGCACTAAACGAATAGGAAAAAAAAAGAATGTATACCCATTTTTAGTCTACTGCTAAACTCATGAGCTGCAGTCTATGTGTTGGGAAGAATGCAATGTTCGTCTGCTCCTAATACACTAAGCTTTATCTCACTTGGGGACATTATGGGTAAAGACATTTGACAAGACATTTGTTAACCATGACTGTCCATGACCCCACGAGCATTGAATTTCACATTACTAACAAATTGAATTTCACATTACTAACAAGGCCTTCAAAGAGACTTTTTAACCCATAATGGCTAACAGCATCATTGTTAATTCATCATTATTGCCATTGAATATGTTTTGAATGAATCATAAATAAGGGACAAGAGACTTCTGATTGTGCAATTATAAATATATTATCCACCTACTCATTGTGATACTTAATAATGTTTGTTTTTTAAATGTATATGCAGATAAGGGAAAGGTACTCATGTTCAGGTAAAGTATTTGTTGATGAACAATGTGCCTATTGGACTATGATATACTTGCTGAAACATGTCTATTAATGTGATCATTTCAACAGTTTGATTTTTTTCAAAATACATATTGGATAGTTAAACCTGTGAACATTGAAACAGAAATAAAAGTATTATATATTAGTTCCAGATTCATCTTTTCCTCACACCTGTATCAAGTGATAATATCATTTCTCTTGTTGACGTCTAATTTAAAGCTCACATTTTCTTCTTGTTGATATTGAACATTTTGGATTCATGGTGGCTGAGTGCTAAAGTGCTTGGCTTCCTAACCGAGGGGGTCTCAGGTTTCAATCCAGTTGAAGATGGGATTTTGAATTTCAGGATCTTTAGGGCACCTCTGAGTACACCCAGCTCTAATGGGTATCTGCCATTAGCTGGGGTGGGAAAGTAAAGGGAACTGGTTGTACTGGCCACATGACCTTTCATCTGCCCAGTAGATCACAAGGTCTGAAAAGAGTACTTTTCTTATTGCCCATTTTAAGGCAGGTTAATATAAACAATCTAATATAAACAAATCTATTATTAAATATACAAACAATTTTTGTTGACTTGTATTCTACTTACAAATGTCTGTTGGTATGTTTATGTGATGTTATTTATAGACTGTTTCCCTTACATATATGTAAGGATTCTCAGCTAATTAAACTGTGGGTTAATATAAAATAGTACTTTGATCCCAACTTAGAAATGAAATCCTTTTTTTTTTCTATAACAGCCACATTTTATTTTCAAGGCAATTTTATTAAAATATAAGTTTTCAACAAATTTAAAACAATGCAACTGATACATTTTGTCAGTAATTTGTTTTGCAACAATAATATTCATATTTTTTCAATAAAATACAAAACAAGTTCAATGTATGTACAACATATTTGCATGAAAGTTTTAGAATTCAAGAGACTAAAATATAAACCAGCATAAAGTTAAAATTTATTAGCAAAACAAATCATTTTAAAAAAATCACACTGACTAAAGCTCTGTAGAAATAAATGGAAGCAATTCTAAACAATTTTAAGTTCTCTCATTCAGTGTCAATAATGTCAATAAACTTAATGTGAAAACATTCAAACCAAACGACTGAAATAAGATCACATTCAGTGCATCCTTTTCAAAGGATAATTTACAAATTTAACAGACCACTAAATAAAAAAAACAACACTGAAGTGCCTTAAAAGAAATCATCCCATCTCATAATTTACAATATGCATAAGACATGGCACTGTGCCCTAATTTGTTTAATCCACTAAATACTAATCAGTGAACTCATGCTCTTCAACTGGAGCTAAATGATTTCAAAAACTGGGTATTTATCTGCTGTCATTTCTCATTACTTATTTTTGAAAATCATGTTTTAAAATCAACCTTATGAATCTTAAATATATCATATAGGCCTACCCCAGAACAACGAAATGGCAATGGTCAGGGTATGAACTCAGGACCATTAAGACAACAGAGCAACAGTCCAGCATGCATAAGGCATGATAAGGCAACTATTCGAATTCTATACTTTTTTTTTTTAATACAGTTAAATTCAATATCGGTTTTTAACATTGAAAAGAAAAAAAATAATTTTACAAAACAGATTTATGCTGCTTTTAATTAGTCTGATTTAAAAACTTTCATTAGAACATCATCGAATAGCTTCCTAATGAAGCAGTTAAGCATATTTGACAAATTATATATTTTTGTTTTAGTTTTTGGCACATCAGCACAATTTAGGCCATGTCGTGCCTGTTACATTTATATGTGTATTTATGTTTATGTACGTGTGTGTGTGTGTGTTTGTTTTCATGTAGTCTCCCTTGTTCTACTGTTCAGTATGTTCACGGTTTACTCTGAAGTGTGTCAGTAGTGTGTAGTCACTGTGTATTAGTCTCTGCTGGTTGGTCTCTCCTTGTTTTTCACGCTAATAAAAATGGAGTGTAACTTTTAAACATCAGTATTATTAGTGTGTATAGTGATAATATAACATGGTGGCAGCTTTCCTAAAAGTTCTAAAATGGAAACTGTAAGTAAAACTAACTTTAAACCAAGAATTAACCCTCCACCTCCTTTAAATGTGAAGAAAGGGTGTGAGGAATGAAAGCTTTTCAAGCAAATGTGGCTGAACTATTGCACTATCGAGAGAATAAACGATATAGATGAAGAGTATGCCAAAGCACTGTTCTTGCACACTATCGCCCAGAGGCGTTGGCAGTATACAACAGTATCACCTTTAAACCAAAGCACAATGTTCAAGACATAATATGTGCATTTGATGAACACTTCATTGGTTTAAAAAATGAAACTTATGAAAGATATGTTTTCAACAACAGACAGCAGAAGCCACAAGAAACCGTAGAGGATTACCTACTAGCTCTACGCACACTCGCTAAAACCTGCAACTTTTGTGACCACATGGAAGAGTCATTAATAAGGGACCGAATGGTGGTTGGCATCACAGACACAAGAATAAAGAAAGAACTCTTACAAGAACATAAACTAACACTCAAGACTTGTATGGAAATCTGCAAGGCAAATGAAGCTGCTGACTTGCAACTACAGGTACTAGAGACAGGTAGACCTACATTTGATGCCTCACCGCCTCAGGATGAGGCGTTCGCTGTCTCGTCTCGCAAAAATATTCTACAACAAAATGCTGCTCATAAACAACGCAAATGTAAATTTTGTGGACAAAACCACCCGTTCAAAAAGGAACTGTGTCCTGCGTGGGGTAAAATATGTAATAACTGTAAAAAAAAAAATCATTTCGGCATTCAATGCAGCCAAAAGAAACTGCAATATGTACATGAATACAGTGATGATTGTTATTCGTTATCTTCTAATGATGAGGCTGTGCTTGCTGTACAAGGTGGACCAAACAATAAAACCATAAAAGCTGAAATGATCATAGCTGGTGAGAAGATTGTGTGTCAGATTGACTCGGGTGCCAGTGTTAATGTCATCCCTAAGAGGCTTATTAAATCTGCACAAATCTGTCCCACTCAAAACAAGCTACGTGTGTATGACGGTAGCACACTCATACCTATTGGAAAGGTACAACTCGTAGTACAAAATCCAAGGACCAACAAGAGATATCGTGTTGATTTTGTGGTTATGAGAGATGACTTAACTCCCTTGTTAGGGAAGAAAACGTCAGAAAAAATGGGACTAATTACAATGAACTATCATACTTTTGAAAGTGTTGACAAGGTTGAAAGTGTTGATAAGCCTCTACCAAGGTTATCGACAAAAATATTTGAACAGTTCTCTGATGTATTTGATGATCAGCAGGGTGAATTACCTGGTGTTGTACACTTAGAAGTGAATCCTGACATAACACCAGTTACATGTCCATCTGGTCATGTACCTTTAGCTTTGCAGGCTAAAGTACAGTTTGAGTTAGAACTGCTAACAGAAAAAGGAATCATTGAGCCTGTTGATAAACCTACTGACTGCGTCAGTCGGATGGTGATTGCAACTAAAAAATCTGGAAAACTCCGTATCTGTTTAGATCCTCGTCCTCTCAACATGGCACTTAAAAGAGAACGTTTTCCCCTTCCAGTAATGGAAGACTTGCTTCCTAGATTATCGAATGCACAAGTGTTTTCAAAACTGGACCTTGCAAATGCATATTGGCATGTGCATCTGGATGAAGCATCGAGTTTGCTAACAACTTTTCAGACACCCTTTGGACATTACAAGTGGAGAAGATTACCTTTTGGAACATCTGTGAGCTCAGAACTGTTTCAGAAACATTTAAATGCTGCTCTTGAAGGTCTTGAAGGTGTGATTGGTGTAGCTGATGATATTATAGTTTATGGTTCCGAGACACATGGGAAACAGCTTCCCATGACCATGACAAGAATATTACAGCATTATTTGAGAGATGTCGCTCTGTGGGAATTAAACTGAACAAAGAAAAAGCTGAGATTAAAATGAAAGAAATTACATTTCTGGGACATCTAATTACAAGTGATGGTTTAAAGATTGATCCTGAAAAGGTAAAGGCTGTTAAAGAAATGAACAAACCAACAAACGTTGAGGAAGTTCGGCGCTTTTGAGGGTTTGTGAACTATCTTGCTAAATTCCTACCCAAACTATCCGACGTCATTGAACCAATTCGGCAGCTACTTCATACAGATATCCCTTGGTCATGGTCGAGAAAACATGACAGTGCATTCTGTGACATACAATCTATGGTGACTCAAGCTCCTGTGCTAGCATTCTACAATCCACTTAAAGAATTGACCATACAGTGTGATTCCAGCCAAAATGGTCTTGGCGCTGTCTTAATGCAGGAAAGTAAGCCCATAGCTTACGCAAGTCGATCTTTGACTGATACTGAAACTAGATACGCACAGATCGAGAAAGAAATGCTAGCAATTGTATTTGCACTGGATAAGGTCCACCAATACACGTTTGGTCGACATATAACCATTGAAAGTGACCACAAACCTCTTGAAGCAATAATGGCTAAACCTCTCTCAGCTGCTCCTCGAAGATTGCAGGGAATGATGTTGCGCATACAAAACTATGACATAACTGTAATTTATAAAAATGGAAAAGAAATGTATCTTGCCGATGCACTTTCAAGAGCTCATATCAAGTCATCAGCAAACAGTCGAGGGGAGTTTGAGCTCATAAATATGGCCAGTTTTCTAGCGATTGGGGAAGAAAGACTACAGAAACTAAAGGAAGAAACCGAGAAAGATAGGACGCTTCAAAAACTTCTAATAATTAATCAAGGTTGACCAGAAGGCAAGCATCTTCTACCATATCAGCTAACGCCTTATTATAATTTCAGAGACGAAATGTCAGTTCAAGAGGGGCTTATATTCAAAGGTGAAAGAGTAGTAGTGCCCAAGTCACTACGATTAGAAATGAAAAGAGAAGTTCATTCTACACACTCAGGCATTGAAGGATGTCTAAAAAGAGCTCGTGAGAGTTTATTCTGGCCAGGAATGACCGGTGACAAAAAGCATTATATTTCAGCTTGTGAAATATGTCAAGCTTTTTAACCCAATCAACAGAGAGAGACTTTAATGAATCATGAAGTTCCCACACACCCCTGGGAAAGGGTTGGTGTTGATCTATTCACACTTGACGGCAAAGACTATCTTGTGTGTATGGACTACTAAAGTAACTTCTGCGAAGTTGATTGTCTAGAGAACACTAGTTCAGAAACTGTCATAAGAAAACTTAAAGCCCATTTCGCTAGTTATGGCATCCCATCCACAGTGGTCTCTGACAATGGACCTCAGCTATCTTCGGACAGCTTCGCAAAATTCGCCAACGATTGGAGTTTCAACCATTTGACAAGCAGTCCCCACTAGCCCAGATCAAATGGGAAAGCTGAATCAGCCGTGAAGACTGTAAAGATATTATTTCTTAAAAATAAAGATCAGTTCATGGCTTTACTTAATCATAGAAGCACCCCGAATAAAACTGGTACTAGCCCATCACAGGCATTCTTTAACAGAAGAATCAGAACCTTGCTGCCTAAAGCTAAAAGCCTGTTGAAACCTCAAGTTCTGGATCCTCAGAAACATAGAAAAGCGC